TTGGGTTGGTAAGTGATCTGTGATGCTACCGTAACTGGTCATAAATGCGATGCATATACAAATTTTTCTCGTCTTCAGACTTATCTTACACAAACCTAAATATGCTTTCATGAATCTTTTTTTTTTTCTTAAGAATGATTTCTAATTATCATTTTTATGAAAATTAAGTAGGTAAATTATTTTTTGTATTATGGTAATTCGTTTAACCAAATACCAAAAGAGATAATGTTAGGAGGATCCAGTTCAAACAACCATATACGACCATGATATTTTCATTTGTTTCCTTTTTTACATAAACATTGGAACTGTAGAATTTATTGTCTATGATAAAGTTGCCAGATGTTTATCCAAAATTGAGACTTTCTTGTTTTCCTGTTGAATACCAGCTCAATTTGAAAAAAAAAAAGGAATTGGAATTTGTTTTCACTAATCTACCTCTACTAAAGAATTCAAAAAAAAAAAAAAGAAACAAAACTGTCATATGATAGCCATAGGTGCCTCTATGAGCTCATCATTTTCACGTTGAACAATGAAGACTAAGATTCTCTTATAAGTTGTATAAAATCTAGAAAGCACACTAGAAAAATAGAATTGCCAGAAGGAAACAAAAGTCTTATCTCCCTGTAAAAATTCTCTCCCCTTGTCCTCTATATTCCGGTATAGTAATCCTTTTTCGGTATATAATTTACAAGTGCAACTTTTAAAGTACTTATATCCATGTGCAGCGCAACTACCGTTACTTCTTTATGTTTGTTTCTTCTTCTGCCATGCTGTGCATCTTCATATTTGCAATGTCGGCTTGGTATATAAAATTTCTTATGGATGATCATGGAAGTGTCTGGAAAGCAATGAAAGAGTCTCCTGCATCGGTTATACTAATGGCCTACTGCTTTGTTTTCTTTTGGTTCGTTGGAGGTCTCACTTGCTTCCATTTATATCTTATAGGCACAAACCAGGTTAGTTTCTTTTTTATTTGTGGTCAACATTCTTTGCTTCTATGCTTTGTGTAAATCCATTATGACTAGCTATTGGGAGAGCCATTATTATCTGCTACCATTTCTAATGGAAACCATGTTATAACTTTTACCTGCTGGAAAAAATATTCAGTTTTAATTGTATTTTGAAGTAATGTATTGGTTGTTAGAGTGTTAATTTCATAGCTTCGTAATGGCTTTTCAGACCACATATGAGAACTTTCGAAATAGTGGAGCACGTCTTGTTTATGACCATGGTTGCTTGAAGAACTTCACTGAAATATTTTGCACGAGGATAAAACCTTCAAGAAACAATTTCCGTGCATATGTTGCAGAAAATGCACGAAGGCTTGCCAGGGCCACAACTCGAGAAGTGGAGATAAATGATTCAGATGGGGGCCAAAGAGAAAAGGTTGAAAATGACCAAGAAATTGATGGTGATCTCCTCAAGATATCCCAACGCCGTGAGATTGAGAACTAAGTTAGGGGATTGAACAAAAACTACATTGTTCCAGTTGTAGGGTATTGATTTTACTTGTTTATAATGAGCAATTTTTGTTACCACCAAATACGCCTTTCTGGGTTATTACCGAGGTTATGCCCACAAGGTTTCTGTAATTTTCATTTATATATCACCTCAAAAGGGTTTAGTTGTTTTATGGAGGCACCCAAGAAAGCAAGAGAGACTATGGCAGTATCAAAGAAAGAATAGGTTTGCTTCTCTCTGTAAGACTAGGGTCTGGGTTGTATGGATTTTCAGTCATTGCAGCACTTGTTTGCCCTTGTCAAGAAT